AAATTGGCATCAGGGTCTATTGCTCACGATTTTATATACACTGGTCACATTTATTAATAGCAACCACTACGTATTTATTTTTACACCAGAAAGTATTACAATATACATAGCTAATGAATTTATTCTGAAACAAAACATATTCAATCCTCTGCAATCTTCTCAGTCTCGCTAAATAATATCCAAGCCTTAACCTATATAGTAAGTGTGTGCGAATAGTATTCGAATTGAATCGAATCAAATATTCACTTTAGATTCGAATAGTATTCGCAAACTTCTACTAGATACCCTGGCGGTTTCAGCAGCACGGTGAAAGCACGGTCGCAGTACGGTCGCTCGACAGTTGTTTCACGGTCGTTTCACCGTATAAAGTTCGTTCTTACCGAGCGATCTATCAGTCAGCATCGAATACCGTTGTGAACGATGTCTACTATTAATTTATTGAATATATACGGTGTATACGCAAGTGAATCTACGATGTTATGACCGATGCTGTACGCTCAATATACTGTCGAAATACGGTGATTTTACGCTACTGTCACGGACAATAAAATAAAAAAAAATACTTCGGACAGTCTAGACCGGGACTCGAACCTGGTTCAAATGGTCGCACGCCCGAAACTTTACCAGTTGGGCTATCTGAGACAACGCACGGAGTATTCGATTCAGTGACATGATAAGGTATCAAAACCAAGTCATTTTTTTCATTGTACAGATAAAAATAGCTTAAATAAAGCTATATTTTTTCCAGGACTTCAAAATAATAATCGTAATAAATGATTCAAATTTTTGATGATTACGAAATTTTTGATTTCGAAATTGCGGTGAAATTATTAACTGTATAAAAAAAGATCTGAAAAAGAAATTGCTAAAAATTTAATTGTTAAAAAATCTCAGAATAATTTTTCTTGAATAAAATATCTCCCGATTAAAAAAAAAAAAAAAAAAAAAAAAAAAATAACAATAGTTGATTAATAATCAAAAAGTATTATAGTTTCTCATTTAAGACTATGAAAAAAATTCAACACTTGTAAGCCATAAACTCTTCTGAAAAGTATTGAAATGATGGATCTCTGTTGATTGCCGTCGTTCACTGTCAAATGACGGCCGTTCGACAGTCAAGTGACGGTCATTCGACGATCATTTGTCGACACTGTGAATTCACGGTACATTCACCGTCGTTTCACGATCATTTTTACTGTGAACCCGAATCCGCCAGGGTAGGCATTGTTTCAAAACAACATTTTTTTGGAATTTGTGGACTGTGGTATCTTCTTTATACGAGATTTTGAGTTGATGAGTCGGAAAATTGGAAAGTTATCTCAAAAAAGCTTAAAAAAATATTGTCAGACTTGATTCTCCGTGAAGATATCGTATGATAAAATTTTTTTTCACTATGTGATACTAAAAATCTGTAAGCTACTTTGACTCGTAAAACATATAAGTCGGAAGCCAAGTTAGGCAGCATCTCGCGACTGCATTACATACTTTAGTGATATGGGCCGACTTTGGCTTCCCGATTCGGTGCGAGTTTAGAAGTTGGCATGCCTAATTTGGACCGAACCACCGCCGAACTTAAGTTTCTGAAAGGAATTTTATTTTAAAATTACCGTTAAATTCACGATAATCGTGGACAAATGGCACGACCTAAATAATTGTTGGTAAGTAAGATAATTCTTTTTCTCCACTCTAGAGTGTTGGAGTAGAGTGAAAAACTATGAATCTGGAGATAACTAATAAATATTTCCCTTTTCATTTTCATTCACATTACTTTGTATTTTTCCGACTAGTTAATTATATCTAGTCGTCAAATACTAAATTTTAAGTGTAAAACGAAAAGGATGTTCTTTTAATTAATAAATTCAAAAGATAACCTTACTTCTGCTACAAAAAAAAAACATTTCGACAGTTAATCAATGAGTTGTAAGGTATTTCAGAAAATTGAAAAGCTACTTAAGTAAAAACTCCAAAATCGGCAGAACCGAGAGCTTTGATTGAGAAAGCCACTTAGCCAAACCAAAAAAACAAGATTAATCGGATATGACAAAGAAAAAAAAACGATATCAAACTCACTAATGAAGCTTTAGCCTTTAACAACAAAACTCATGAAACTCCAGCACAGAATGGAACACCACCAGAAGAAGGCATCAACCTTTTTTAATGGCGTCTCCGGAGTAAATCAAACCACTAACAGTCCATCACACTCAGCATCCCAAGAACTAAAGTATGAGAAAACTAACAAAGCACCGTTTCTGATTCAATTACAACAAGAGGATCTATACCAGGGGCCTAAAAATATTGTGTTGGTAAACGGACAACTTCAAAAATGCAGCATTGATTTCAAACTTATCGAGCCTCTATTAAAAGGTACGAGGTTGCTAACCTTTGACCAGTAATCTAAGGCAAACAAAATTCTTAGATGCAAGAAATTTATCAATGATGATGGTTTTACTGCGTTTATACCCAGAAAAAAGTTGTTTAAAAAGTGCGTTGTAAGAGGTATACCGGCCGACATCACTAAGGAGAAGTTCATCACTAATGTTAATTCTTCAAACGGGGGCTTGGTCGTAAGAGATATGTATAGATTCTAAAGAAAAGTTACGACAGAAGGATCTGTTAAGCGGGTAGATACTGAAACAGTTTGCTTTTCTATTAGGGCACAGTTACGCCTAGAACCATTGTGCTTTTCTAAACAATGCTCAAAGTAATGACTTATATTCTATCAATTAGACAATGCTACAAATGTGGCAAAATAGGTCACATTAGCAAATTTTGCAGAAAAATGGAAAGATGCTTGACGTACAGTGAGAGTAGACATCAAGAAAATGAGTGCCAACAAGCTTCAAAATGCATAAATTGCGACGGTTCTCATCGTTCACTCGACAGGGCCTGCCCAAAGGTCAGAGAAGCTAATGAAATGACCGTCACTGAATCAGTCCTATAAAGGTTCAAGCAATACTGCTGAGGCGGTGAAAGTTCAATTAAAGGAAACCAATTTGAGGAAAAATTTATTGTTGCCGGTGATTTTAATGTACACCAGCCATGTTGGGGCAACAGATCTGTTACGGTTAGAAATTTTGGTCAAATTAATAAGTAATTAAAAATATTCCCACTGCAAGACAAATGTATTAAAAGGATCCGGGTTTAAAAAAGCAGAAGAAGACTTGGTATCGATTGGGGAGTGCCGATAGAGGAATGGACACAAGTCGAAGTGACACTCGCATGACTGAAAAGTAACAGATGGATATAGGTCACTAGGCGAGCTATGTCACTAGGTATCCTCATACACGCCATCAGGACTCCATGAAAAAGAGGAATACAAACTCTAAAGACAATAGGGGATGTTTTACCACCCCTGGTGAGAGATGTCCCACCACCACTAGTTAGAAGCTCCATTTCTCCACAAGACACACTGGTGGTCATTGAGGGATGACCAATCATAATTCGTCGTTCCAAGTGAAGGCTATCAACTGACATCGACAGACCAATAGTGCCAAGAGTTTTAACATAACAAGGACCGATACAATTACAAAATTCTTAGAAATCAAAGGGATGTTGCCACCACCACTATTCCAAAGATATGGAAAGGGTACAAGCTCTAAAGACAATAGGGGATGTTTACCACCCCTGATGAGAGATGTCCCGCCACCGCTAATTGGATGTTCCGCTTCTCCACGAGAACCACTGGTGGTCATTAAGGGATGACTAATCATAATTTGCCACTTCAGGTGAGGATTATCGACGGACCAATAGTGTTAAAGGTCTTTCACATACGATGACAGGCAATTAAGAAATTCTCAGAAATCAAAGGGATGTTACCACCACCCCAGTCCAAAGATATGGAAATTGGGGATCATACCACCACCAGGTTCATTCCTCCGCAAGTGTATAAAAATGCAAACTCTTTGAGGTAAGCAGACAGTAAAAATTAAAATTATTTCATGCGGGGAACCTTTCGCCAAGTACAGTCCTAGTCATCAGTCAATTTTAAAATATTATTCCATACGGGGAACCTCTCGCCAAGTCCAGTGCGGTACGCAGTAAAAATTCAAATTATTCAATCATACGGTGAACCTCTTGTCAGTAGACATCAGCTCAATCTTGAATAATATTTCAACCGACAAAGCTCCAATCGAGAGTATTATTTCTAGTCAACATATATCTAGTTTCATCGAAATTAAGCATTGATTTCGAACTCAAAATTAAAAACCATTGTTGACGTTCGCGAAGACGTTGAAGTCAAATTAAACTATATCGATCATCAACCCAGGCATTGAGGTTGAAGATCAGTTAGTGTCATGTGAATTTAACCTCGGAGGATTCTCCTTTTCAATACCTTCATCATCTAGAGAACTCAGTGCCAGGCTTACCTCAGACGTCACCTTCAACGCCGAGACGACCAAGACTTCAGCTCAATTCAAGCGTTCAAAGACCCATCCACGACCTATTCTAACCGTAACAATTCAATAGTGTGGCGTTCAGTAACGACATTGTGAATGTAGCAACAAAAGAATAAAATATCTGTTCGATATATTTAAATCGTAAGTAAATTGTTAATTTCTTTCTTTCATATTTCTCCTCTTTTCCTTTTTCAACCAGTTCTGATGGTCATCCCCTTAGAGTTAATTAATCAATAAGTTCTTAAGCGCTGTAAGCACTTGTTTTATGCTGATGATTTAGTTGTCTATTTAACATGTAAACCTTGTGATATAGAAAGCTCTGTAAGAATTCTGAATGAGGAAATTGCTATAATTCTGAAGTGGTGTATTATAAACGGTCTTAAACTAAATCCTAACAAAACAAAGGCAGTGATTTTTGGATCAGCACAAAAATTGGCTGATGTTCAATGTGAAGTGATTACAAATATAGTTGTAAATGATACTATAGTTGACTATTGTAAATCAGTAAAATATCTAGGAGTCATACTTCAAGACACTCTAACTTGGTCCTTATAAATTACTGAGGTTTGCAAAAATAGCATGAGAGTACTTGCACAGTTAAAGATGAATGGAGATGTTTTCTCATTGCCTGTTAGGAAAAGATTGGTCACTACTTTAATTTATTCTATTTTTGATTATTGCGCGGCTATTTATACTGATATTACAGGTCAACAACAGATTAGACTTCAGAGAAAATTAAATACTTGTGTACGATACATTGTTAAAATATCAAAGTATGAACATGTAACTCAATATTACACTGAGCTTCGTTGGCTGACACTTAGTTCTAGGCGTAAATTTTTCTTATCGTGTCTTATTTATAAAGCATTGTATCTTAATCAAAAGCCTCTAATTAGGCGAGACTTAGAAATTCTTGAGCCTCGCCTACGCCGAGGAGATATTCGTCAAGCCTATCTTGAGTTACCGGTTTATCATTCAGCAAAGTATGAAAAATCATTCTTGATATCTGCGATTAAAATCTGAAATCAATTACCAGCTGATTGTACGACGTTACCAACGTTTATGGAGTTTCGAACTGCTTGTTATGAATATTTTTTACAATCTGATAGATCATAATATGTATTCATTGTTTTAGAATTTAGTGATGATTGAGTGACTGAGTATTTAACACACTACATTATATATACTACTTTATATATATACTTTATATATACTACTTAACACACTACTTTATAGATTATATTAAGATGTTTTTGTATCAATTTTGGATGGCCGCAAGGAGTTTCAACTTCATGGCCAATTAAATAAATAAATAATAATAATAATAATAAAATTAAAAAAGCCAACTTTAGAACGTTCTGCAACTCAATAACAAAATACACTGATCCATCGTACATTTGGAAGAAGCTTAAGGTCTTTAAAAATAGGTGGAATACTTCTAGCACATCTAATGAGTATTCAGAGGAACTTATCAACAACGTTAAAAATGCTATAGACCAGCTGTGTCCATCCTGGTCTCCGCTAAAGAAATCCAGATTTCACAATGCATTCGGGAATCCGTTTTTGGAGCAACCTTTTCTCATGAACGAACTAAAGATTGTACTAAACAAGTGCAATACGAACAGCATCCCTGGACTAGACGGAGTCGGCTGTTTAATTTTAAAAAGGTTCCCAGAGGAGCTCAAAAGACTGTTGCTAGCTCTATTCAACGAAATTTCTCAGAAAAAGGTATTTCCGAGCGAATGGCGTGAATACTTGGTCTTCTTCATTCCTAAAAGTGGTTCTAATAAGGTTCGGCCTATATCCTTGGCCTCGTGTCTTTTAAAAATATTTGAAAGAATCTTACACATTAGATTGTCATGATAGCTAAAACATCATAAGAAACTTCCTAGTCATCAATTTGGATTTAGGTGAGGAAAATCCTGCATGGACAACTTAGTCCTCCTGAATGTTGAGATCCTAAGTTTCGATGATGAAGAAGTGCTCGTCTGTCTATCTGTTGATATAAAAGGTGCGTACGACAATGTAATACCACATGTACTTGTAGATAGACTCAGAGAAGAGGGAATCCGAGACTTATTTCTATTTTTTATCTATCAATTAGTTGGATGTAGAATCTTGTCACTCAGATTCGGAGACATAAACGAAAAAAGAATCGTTTACAAGGGACTAGCTCAAGGAGAGGTCTTAAGCTTTCGATTATATCCACTTTATATGAAGTCGCTCGAACGCATTCCACGCAACAGATGATAAGTCGATGAGTTCGCTGACGATGACATTTATTACAAAAAGGCCAAACACCCAAGGCAAGCAATCGCTGATCTTGAAGACACTATGGACTATGGAAGATGTTTTGATTTTTCTTGACTCCAGTGGATTGGAACCAAGCCCAGACAAATACCAACTGTGCGTTTTCAGTCGAGATTATAAAATAACATCTAGGGATTGGTCACTCAAAATTGCAAATAAAGTGGTTAAATCCAACCAAGTTTTTAAACTATTGGGTTGACACTTTGAAAGCACTTTAAAATGGGATGTACAGATCAACTTAATTCGAGAAATAGTATATTACACATCTAGGGCAGTAAAATAAGAAATGTCTCGAGCGGCATGATGGTCGAGCGGGTTAAGTCATTATCCTGTTAATTCGCTCGCACATCATACCGTGAGGCGAGGGTTCGAGCCCCGACGGTTGTTCGAATAGTTCCAACACCAACCGTCGGGGGTCGCTCCGGTAACCGAACTGTACTGGCATGGGTTTTCTCTGTGGTTTCCCCATCGCCACTATTCCAACCACCGATAGAAAGGTGAGGAATAGGGTGAATACAGTACAGAAAGCACAAGTCGATCCACAGCCGCAGTGATAATAATAAGAGTTGAGTATATAAATGTGCGAAAAAAATAAGGTTGATTATGCAGTGAAAATACAGGAGTGAAAAGGAGGACGTGCTGGGGTCCGAAAAAGCGTTGAATAAAAAAAAAACAAGGACAGTATAAAAACACAGGACAGTGGCGCACTCGCGGAATGCGATAGCTACCATCTACCCAGCCTTGTAAAAACCAAGAACGGTATACAAGTAAAAATCGAAATAATAATAAGAAATATCTCAGATCACATGTAATTGTTGTCCGACGCGAAGCCGAGGTTAATAAACATGTAATCTGAGGCTTTCTTATTTACTGCCCGTGGTGTGTATACTATTTTTCTTCTCGACGGAGGCGGAATGCGACATTTTCGTTTAGTGCAGCGGGACGAAAGTTGACGCTTTCCGCCTTGAGGTGAGAAAAATATTTAGTCCTTATCTATTTTGAGTTATCTTCAGACCACCTGGTTGGGACCAGACCCTACAGTCTTGTTACGGTTATACAAGGCATTAATTCGCTCTCGTATAGAATACGGAGGCTTTCTATTCCACCCTCTGTCAGCTAAAACTCTTAAAAAATTACAGGCTGTACAAAACAAAACCATAAGGATTCCCATGGGATATCGTCAGTCAACCCCAACCAACTTAATGCTAGTGAAGCAAAAGAACCACCTATACTTCTCAGATTTCAGTATCTGTGCATGAATTTTTTATCTAGACTGATGTCAAACGCTGAACATCCGTTGATTCCAGTGCTCGAAAAACTCGTAGCTACTAGAGATAACGCAACATTTAAAGCTTTTGGACCAAGACCTCTCCTGTTGTTTGCTTATGGAAACTTAATACCAATACAAAATTATAGAGAATCATCTGACAAGCCACTGTGCTATCACTACTCATTCGAATCGTTGTGGTTTAATCCTGACATAGACTTAGAAAACGGTCTTGCTATTGAAAAGGCTACTGATCCAAATCACAAATTTGAGACTATTTTCTGGCATGAATTAAGCAGGGATAGCTGGTAGTTCACGGGCGGGTCAAAATTTTACAAAGCAGCGATTCAATATTTTACATCTTTAGTAACTCTAAAAGTGTTCTCATGGCCCTCAAAAACTATCGCAATTCGGAAAAGTAAAACCCTATTGTTAATCGTATTAAGGACCAATTACACAGACTTCATTTGCTAGATAAAATATTCCAATTTCACTGGATTCTCGCTCATTTAGCCATTCATCATAATAAAACTGTAGATCTTCCGGCTAAAGAAAGTGTAAGGGCGGGTATTGACTCCCAACTGTTAATTCCCGCTTCTGATCTAAAAGGTGTTTGGAAAAAGAAAATCCGAAATAAATTCAATCGGTGGTGTCTAGTTACAGGCAGATATAAAGGAACTAATTATTTCCGCAAATTTTATACAGAAAGCGCACATTCGTAGTTTAAAAATTTTAAATTCCATAGAAAAACTGTTGTATCAATTAATACACTAAGAAGTGGACACACTTCCCTAGCATCTAGCTTATTTCGATTCAGAATTGTAAAGTTAAATCAATGTCTTTGTGAAGAGTCTGAGGAAGAACTTAATCACGTGTTCTGGCAGTGTAAGTTATATGATGAAGCTAAAGAATATTTATTTCATGATCTCAAAAAAGATAAATTATATCCTCCTTACAGTATTGAAGCCATGTTAAGTGAAATGAATCCTTTGTCTGTGATTGCTCTCTCTAAATTCATAAATACTATTAAACTTAGCATTTAATTTCTTTTTGAGTTTATTTTTTTGTTCATTTTCTAATTTTTTGAACAGAATACTTTGTTATTTAAATACAGTGCCTAACAATAAAATCTAGTATGTAGGTGATGTTTCAGTTCGAAGCCTTCTCTGTGAGAGGGCTCTAGTATGTAAGAACTTTGTAATAATTTTTTTCTTTTAATAATAAAAAAAAAAAAAATAATAATTTTTTATTTTATAAAAAGTTATGTATAAGTTTGTTGAGGCTGAATTGGGATATCCCAAGGCCTTTCTGTACTTTTATATTTTTAAATAAAAAAAAAAAAATAATAATAATAATTTTACTCACGGCAGAGTGATATGAGCTTTCAGCTCAAGGCATTCTTATATATTTTCAATAAAAAAAAAAAAAAAAAAAAAAAAATCGAGATAATTATTAACTTTTTTTCAAAAAATTTTACCGCAAATTTTATTAGGTTTTCGGTCAATTTTATGAAGTCTACCATGAAATAAATGAATTTTTTCGTAACTTTTGTTTCAAGAATGGTAATAAATAAAAGGGCCGCATTATGTCCCACGATTACAGTGAATTTAACGGTAATTTTTAAAGAAAATTTCTTTCTACGTATATATTTTATGAATTTAGTGTTTAAAATTGATGATGCCGCGACTATTAAACCACGGACAGTTCAACCACAGAACAAATAATTTTTAAATAAACACACAAAATCCATAATAAAAAGGTTCATTATACAACGGTTGATTTGTCTTGCGGTTGAACAGTCTTTCGGTTCAAACGTCATCGATTGAACTATCGCGATTGAACTGTCTGCGGTTTAATTGTTATACAACATTTGTAAAATGCAGGTGGGGACATCACATATTTGACACAATTAGAATCAAATTAGTGTCAAACAATTCATAAAATCGAATATTCGCACACCCCAAATGAAATCACGGACACTCTTGCGAAAAGCAATATCACTGCAGGCATTCGTCTAAGCTATAAATTACTATGTATATATGCTAACTTATATAAAAAAAATCTAACAAACAAATAGAGAATAGACAAATTCAGCGAAGTTCTATAGATACATACGAGGTCACAACCTCTAAATTACCCAATTCAAGATTATTGACGTTGACAATGAGTCAAGTAACCTAAGAAAAATTCTAAGGAAATGTTAAAATACAGCAAAGCTTGATGAAATTATTCCTAGCAGGCTTAGTTCAAAAAAGTGACTGCTGCTGCAAGAACTTGAATGGTTGATTCTCGAGCAGAAGTCAAACCTGTAATCAGGAAGATTATGAATATCATCTGTGAACATTATTTACTTGCGCTGCAGAGTCCGCAGACCACTCTGCTATAAAAGTGCAAACACAAATGATCAAAGTAAGCTAATCTGAATGCTAAATAATTTCTTTAGCTAACTTGACAGTGATCTCCGGGACCGCGTTTATTAGAGATTGTCTGCACGGAATTAGAAAAATAAAGCACTACATTTGCGAATGTTACATCTAATGAAAATTTTAGGGGACTTCTTTCCAATTGACCCGCCGAAAAAAACTCAAGAAACTTGTCACTAAAAAATTCAATAAAATCAATATTTATTCTAGTACAAATTATTAAAAAATGTTTCCTAAGCCTTTTAACTTTTCTATAGTTGTCTGTATGTTTTAGAATTTTTTTTTATTCACTAATCCTTACAATTACTTGATTTTTTAAAGTTATATACTTTAATTATCATGTATAAATTTAATTACTATGCATAATATATATTTCAACCGATTTGAGTTTTAGTTATTAAATCAAGTATATATATTAAATATTCAATGTTATCATACTTATATGATTTGCAAGTGATGACTCAATATATGTAAAAGTCGTTTGGAAATACATTTAACGTCATAGAACTATGACTATCATCATTTATGATAGTATTTGTAATGATTCAGAAGTAAAAAACATATTGTATGTTAATTATACATTAATAAATAGCAGGTCATTAGAGAATTCATGAATCGTTTCAATTAGTCATCATTCAAATTAAAATTTTCAATTTTGACGAAAAAATGTAAAAAATAGTTAACCCTACAAGCGAGCCCTTGAATCTTTGCTACTTTCAATCCAAAGCACTTGGAAAAATCATGGTTTAAAGGTTTCTATGGTACATTTTAATTTTAAAAAGTTTAAAAGAACCAAAAATGTCGCAGGACAACTAGTTTAGCAGTATACATTCGAAATTTTACAATTCTTAAAAAGAAACTTTTCCGCGAACGAGTATAAAATTTTCGAACGTTACGAAGAGTTGAGATCGTCTGAGATACGTGGTGATGAAACTGGTAATGAAAGGAAGTGCCCATAAGTTCGGTCTTATTTTCATTCGAGATCATATCCGCATCGTTATTATTCTCAATAATCAACTTTTAGTCTTTCCCTTAAAATCGTATGCGAACGCGAGAAATTTTTCGAAGACACTGATGTTTGGTTTGTAATATAGAACAGTACAAGCTCTCGTGAATTATTCTATAGTAAATGAGTTTAATGTAACAATAAAAATACACAGATTGTATTTACTTATTGTAATTGTTATTGACTTATATAAATCATGGTAATTTTATAGATATCTCAAAGGGAAACGCTATACTCTCTGATCATCTAGGGTCCAAAGAAAATAATATTTTTATGTTGGGAATTCAGTTTTTAAGTAGAAATATTTTAGATTTCATTAAACAGTGGGTCATTCTATGTCAAATCGACCAATAGTTGGAATCGACCCCTTTCGATTTGGACGAATTTTGGTCAGAAGTTTTCTTTTATCATATAACGAAGTTCTGCCAAAGGAAAAAAAATAAAAAAATTTTTTTCAAAAGATATGCAAACTCAAAATTTCGCGATTTTTCCAGTTTTTCAATTTTGTTTTTGTAATATCTCGAACGCTAGTATAGATACAGGAATAATCTTTCATTTGTTTGAAAGGGGACACTTGGAGCTATTAAAAAAAAAATATTTTGGGAAAAAATTTTGAAAAATGCCAAATTTGTCAAATTTTGAATTTTTGAAAATCGTAAAAAATGACGGTCGACAATAAATTTTTTGCTCAAATTTTTTCATATACTACCTTGTACCAATCTTAAGAAATCCTGAAATTTTTGGAACTGTGTTTTTTGTTTTCTCAAAAATATGAATTTTTGAAATTTCTTAAAAAAAAAAATTTTTCTCCAAAATTTTTTTTTTATTTTTATCTCAATTGAGTTTGGTAAATCGCGTAATTTCGATATTCTGAACAATTAAAATGTCATTTAGTGGCATAACGATGAGAAAAAAAATAATTTTAAGAAAAATTTTTTCTTTCAACAAATTTCAAAAATTCATATTTTTGAAAAAACAAAAAACACAGATCCAAAAATTTCAGGATCTCTTAAGATTAGTACAAGGTAGTATACAAAAAAATTTAT